TCATTCTAGGTTGGTTTTGGGGAGATCCACACTTTAAAACACTAGACGATAAAAACTACACGTTTAACGGTGTTGGGGAATACACAATGGTTGACGGTAAAGACGGCAAGTTTAAGCTCCAAGCAAGAACTGTACTGGCTCCCGGAAATCTCAGCATAGCTACTGTGTTCTCTGCTGGAGCTGCTCAAGAAACTGGAAGCAGCAAAGTCGAAGTTAGAATCAAAAGTGGAGGTAAAATTTTTGCAGGTCATATCAATTAACTCATTAAGTTGTATTAAGCAATCTTGCTTAAGAACCTGTATGACAGGCAATACAGCTTTATGCAATCGCAGTATTTTTTTACGCTCGAGGAACGAAAACTGTTCAATCTGAAAAAAGGATAACCTAAAATTTCGGCTGACTGACAGATTATTTAGACCAAACTGTACCCTACTCCACAACGGGTAGTCTTTAGTAGGCCTACTTGTTCTTAAGGTGACTATCTCTAGCCAGGAGTCTAAACGGTTACCGAGAGCTTTCGGTAAAATTTTGACGAAATGCTGAGGGGTTAACGGGTTAAGGACTGGCATTGCATCCCTGAAAGGTGCTTGTGGACGTGTAAGCTGATTTAACACTTAACCATTTGTATATGTTTTGCTCTCAACGTGTAGGTGGAGTGCAAATGTATATCAATGGTGCACTGTATTCCGGCCTCGATAGTCTGACATCTGTTAGCAAAGACATCGGAGGAAACCTGAGGGCGGCCAAAAAGAATCCTGGCTGCGTTGAGGTGACCTTCAAGAGTGGATCAGGTGTTGAATTCTGTGAAGCCAAGGGCATGATGTCATTTGTGGTGACCCTGGGTAACGAGTTCCTCAACAACACAAAAGGGCTTCTGGGAACTTACAATAACAATCCAGATGACGACTTTACTCTGCCGAATGGGAATGTTTTGGATCCAAATAGCAATTCCTCGACTATTCATTATGATTTCGGTTTGAACTGTAAGTACTGCAAATTTAAGAATCAGACATGTTCGCTTCAAACGAGATTACCGAAAAGGGTGTTCTGTGAGTCTTGAATCGAAGTTTGAAACAACAACGAGTGGGGAGGTATTAGGGCACTGAGATTGCACTCTATGGGTCCCACCCTGCAACGCACTGGACTTGTTCTCCCTTGTCCCGAATTAAAGCCCTTGATCGCGCTTTGTATATAACTAGCTGGTCTGCCTCCCACCAGCTGGGGCTTTTAAAAGCTTCGAAATTTTTCTTCTCGAAATTAAAAAGCAGCGAAGAATTGAGTTAGACCACCCTGGAAACAAGTCTTCTTATCGCCATAAATGTGTGCTTTCTCCCCGTTGACGCTGTTTAGTCCTATTTAGTCATAGTTTTATTAATTTATCAATCATTCATCATTGACATATTCTATCTACTTACTCTTGCTTAGGGCAAATAACAGCCAATGAATCTTTGTTCACTTACGGCCCTAATGAAAGCGTTCACACATTCGCCAATGCAAACTTCAAACCCATGTTTGTCGAGGAAATAAAGTGGGCGGACAATGCCACTGAGCAGGCAGCAAAGAAAGCTTGTGGAGATGACGCGGTGTGTCTCTTTGATGCTGCTTCTACGAATGATGTTTCCATAGGAACCAACAGCAAAGATGTAAACGTGAAGTTGGTAAAGGAGAACGAAAAACTTGGTAAGTTATGGCATCGTTCAGTAT